GAGTTGGAAATAGAATGGGAGCACTTTGTTACAAAATAATGGTCTGAGCTTTGACACCGAGGAGGGAAATGGCGATGAATGGATAGTTGATCATGTAACTGATTTAAGGACGATTTGCTTTAATACACACGAGTTACATGCCCCCTCCGCCCTTGACCGCAAGCAGCACACTTGTCTGCAAGGCCAGAAGGGCAGCGCGCCCAGCCCCCAGGCCTGGCCTGCCCACGCACAGGGGGTCGTCCATAATGCACTAGTCAATTCGCCATTCTCTGGCATTGTGGTGTGGTTCGGGGAGGGGGGGGAGGGGGAGCTAGGGCCGGCTCAGTGGGGAAAATAGATAGAGACCTGCAGTACAATACGCCAAAGACCCGGCGAGCAGGGTAGGCGTAGGCCCAATTGTACACATGAGTATTGAATGTGACGGTCTCGCTTCAGAAAAGTGCATTTTTCCCCACACAATAACAAAACGTGTAAAACATACATTTAAAGCAGCACCACAACAAGGCGCGTGTCCTTTCCAGTGTAGCCGCCGACAAGGCTGACACCATTCCGCGCGCTCGCACACAACTTTATTCACAGCATCGGCCAGAGACCCGGGGCCCGGGGAGGGCTCTGCGGCGAGCAGGACGGAAGCTGGCATGAGGCACGGCCTGTCCTGCTCGGCTGAGCTGCTCGGCTGAGCTGTTCCACTTAGAGTCGCACTCACGCCTCCTCCACTGCTACTGCTGTACAGTCCAACAATTAGGCCTACAGGACCACTCCCTTCCCCTCCCTCTGACCCGTGTATGTTCCTCCAGAGGGCAGTCGAGCCTCTGCTCCGCTCTGGTCTGTGCGGCCGCGCTCATTGCCGTGCCCTTCACCGCCGAGGCAGGGAAATTATTTCGCCCACCGCATAATGAATGCAATGGCAATCTTCATTTTGTATTCATGGTATACTTTTGTACCAATTAAACAAATTCTTCTGCTGCGCACGAAACAAATATTTTTTCCGTAGGCACGTCGAGGGCGCGAGAGAGAGACAGAGAGGGAGAGAGGGACGGAGAGAGGGAGGGAGAGTGGAGAGAGGGAGGGAGAGGGAGGGAGACAGAGAGAGAGGGAGAGAGGGATTCGGAGAGAGGGAGAAGAGGGAAGGAGTGAGAGAGACAGGGAGACAGAGAGAGAGACGGAGAGACTGAGGGAGACAGCGAGAGATCAGAGGGAGAGAGAGAGAGAGAGGGAGAGAGAGCGCAGTGGGCAGTGGGCACGTCACCTGCGTTGTCGGCGTGCGAGCGCCTGTCGGCGCGAGGGTAGGCAACCCGGTGGTCAGTCGTGCGCGCTGGGGACAGGTGTGGCCTACCGGGCACGGCGCTCGCCGGGGCTGGGCTGGGCGGGGCGGGGCTGGCTCACGGAGCCATGGCAGTGAGTCGGGGACGTGTCGCCCTCCCGGTGCGCGGATTAATTCAAGGACCACAACCCCCGCGGGGCGCGGCCCCGGCGCACCGGGAAGCGGCCCTCCCCGCAATAAGGAGGCGAAACTGAGCTCCGGGGAGGAAAGGAGGAGGAGGTGGGGAGGGGAGGGGGAGAGAGGACGCGCCCCAAAGCACGTCGACCGTGGCGGCGGGGGCCCAGGGCCCAGAGCCGGGCCGGGCAGGGCCCCACGGACCGCAGCGGGGCCCGCCGCACGCCGCCGTATTCAGCCGAGGGGACGTGCTCGGCATGCACCGGCAGGGGCCCTACCTTTCTCACCTCATTGCGCCGCCACTATCACCGTAATGCCTGCTAAGTAGGGTGCTCCTCCCCCAGGGGGCCCCCAGGGGGGCACCTCGAGCACGGGGATCACAGTGTGTCCCGAGGAACCCCTCCGGCCGGGTCGGACCGCAGCGCGGCGGGGAGGAGAAGGGGGCGTGATGATTTCGTTCCATTTTACTGCTGGTCGTCCGGCGGATCACTTCCGCGCGGAAGCACAGTGTTGAGGACGATGGAGTGAAGACGCGGGATGGCGGATCGGCGTGCGGCTCGAGGAATAAAATCAGTGTGTCCGGCAAATGCAGTTGGCTATGGAATAAAAGTAATTTTCCAACGACAGCCATCCCCAATAAGTCGCGTTCTTTCCTCTTGGCCGAGTCGCGAGCCCATTAACTTCCTCTGATTTTCCTCGTTCGTCTGGGCGCCGCGGCGGGGACAGCGACGGGGCTGGCCAGGACCGCCCGGCCGCCGTTCCATTCCGAGAAGTGCAGCTGTCCAATTCAGAGCCGGCGGGCTGTGCTGTCGCCGGGGCTGTCGCCGCTGCTGGCGCTCCCCGACCAACCGCTCTGCCAACTAACTTTGTCTTATGAATGCCGTGGATCGTCTCTCTGTCTCTCTTTCTCTCACTTAGAGTCACTCTCAAGGACGGCAGCGTACTGCTTGACTGTGTTGGTGCGTGTGTGGGGGGAAGAGACAGACAGAGAGAGAGAGAGGGGGGGCGACGAGGGGTGCAGGGCCAGGCGGGCGGGGTAGGATTGCGAGCAGCGCGGCCCCACAAACTATCCACGGCTGCCAAATATGGCTTACATGCACAGGGCGGGCCGGGTCGGCGAGAGAGAAGGGGGGGGAGAGAAAAGAGAAAAGGAGAAGGGGACAACATCAGTTCCAGCCCGAGAGAGGAGGGAGGTCCCGCGCTCCCCTCGGGACCTCCCCGACCTCCTCCTCGCGCCCTCAGCGGCGCCAAGGGGCCGACCGGGCTGACCGGCCGGGCTCACACACGTAATGCCTTTGGGTCGCGGCCCCGGCCTCCCGGACATGGGAAATTCAGAAGGTGGTCCGATATAAGCGGCACGAGATGTATGTATGACCCCGTACCCCTCCCCCTTCCCTATCTCTCTCTCTCCCTGTCTTCCTTCCGCGCACCACACTCTCCCTCCCTCTCTCTCTCTCGTGCTTCGTGTCGTGCGCTAATAATATCGGTCGGGTCGAAGCCCTCCCCTGGAAGGCCTCTAGGCGCGGAATGGACAGGAGTGGCGAGTTGGAAATAGAATGGGAGCACTTTGTTACAAAATAATGGTGTGGGCTTTGACACCGAGGAGGGAAATGGCGATGAATGGATAGTTGATCATGTAACTGATTTAAGGGCGAAAATGTTTCTAGAAGGCTTCACTTGGTCAATGTGCCGGGGTGCATCCCGGGGGTTGGAAAACATAGCGTTGCGAGACCACATAGTGGTCACGCTGCGTTTAATTTTCTAATAAGCATGTTTTGAGAACGTGTCTTTTTAAATCAAAAAACTGGAACTAATTTTCTGTCAGATCGTCAGCTAGGAGAGTAGAGAGTTCCTTACCATTATTTCTCTGCCGAGTCGAGCCGCGGCTCAACCCAAAGCTGGGATTATTTCACAGCACAGCTCCTCAAGCGCTTAGACAGTTCCGCAGCAGTGGTTCGGTCCCGCTCAAGCACTTGGGACAAGCCCGCGGCACCAGCTCGATCCCGCTGTAGCTCAAGCACTTGGACAGTCCCGCAGCACAACGTGGGCGCGCACGCGCTGCACTCCGCGGGGACTGTGCACGCCTACCTCGCGCTCGAGCACCTCCGGGACGCGGCGCGCACGGACTGTCATATCACACGGCACGCGCACGCACGCACGAGCACGCGCGGACACAATCACAACGCTCGCGCACGAGCGAGCAGGCAAGGAGGCGGAGGTCGACTGGCGGAGATGGCGGGCGGGGGCCGAGGGCGGCTGGCGGCGGGGGTCTGCCCGGCGCGGCGCGGCGGCGCGGCGTCCTGCACGCCCCCATGCTCGCCCTCCCCCCGCCCGCCGCCGAGGAGAGGTTGCGCGGTTGCGCCGGCAGATGGCAGCGCCGACCTGGGCGGGGCGCCCGGCCTCGCGGGGTATCGTCGGACGGCATGTTCCAGGGGCGGCGCAACATCGCGTTACTTTATAAATAGTCCTTTCAGACACATCCCGACGGCTTGGGCACAACAAGACGGCGCTCTTCCAACTGTTAAAACCTTACAAAGCGATGCTTTGTAAGACAAAGTATTTTTGATGCTTTGTAATACAAAACATTTGCTTTGCATGACAAAGCATTTCCTTCGTAGTTTAAGCAAAGCATAAAGCTTGCAGCTTACGAAGGACTTGCATATGCTTTGTTGTAATACAGAACATCAAAATGTTTTGCAAACTTAGTTTGTAAGGATTTAACAGTGCGGATTTGTGTCGCAGTTTTGAGCACAAAGTATACTTTGGGATGATACGGCTGCGAAAAATATGAACCATAGCTTATTTAACCATTATTATTTAATTATTATTTAATACGTTTAAGGATCGATGTTATCTAGAGGAAGGGCAC